ACAACAATAACAATAACAAAAATCATTATGATCATTATTGTTATTATTGTTATCATTATTGCAATTGTTATTATCATTATTTTTGCTTTTATTATTATCAATAATAATAACAACAACAATAATAATAATATCATTATTCTCATTATAATCATAACTATAATTATAATAAACCTATAAAATCATAAAAATAGCAATACTGATAGTAACAAAAGCAACAGAATAACATTTAAATAACAACAATTACCATTATTACCATCATTACCATTAGTATTATCACTATAATTATTATTATTACTGTTATCATCATTATTAAAAATATCAGTATTATCAGTACTATGATCATCACCATCATCATCATCATAATTACCATCATTTAATAATCATAAAAATAACAATAATTATCATCATCATCATCATAAATTAATCATAAAAATAACAATAATTATCATCATCATCATCATTAGCTATTATCACTGTTATCGCCATTATATAATAATAACTACTCATTATAATCATTATCATAATTTCTAACATCATTAATTTTATCATTATCATTATTATGTTTGTTCCTATTATTGTTACTATTACTGATTTTTTTTTTCATTATCAGTGTTTTATCATTATTTCTATATTTTTTCTTTATCATCATTAATATTTATCATTATCATTATCTATTATCATTATTATTTATCATTATTGTTTACCAATATTATCATTATTATTATTAACATTATTATACTATAATCACAGTTACAGATACCACAGCAACAGCACCAACAGTAAGAACATGACCATAAACACCTGCTCTAACAATAGCATTAACAGCACCATTTAAGCAGTAGCAGCAGCAATAAAAATAGTGGTCGAACCTCCATAAAAGAAAATAGAAATGCAAATATAACTCCCAACAATATACAGTATGTGTTAACAGTAATAAATGCACTATCATCTGAATACAAAAATAATCATTATCTAAGAATAAAATGCAAGGAGTTTAGTATTTAAATAATACAGTCAGAAGCACACTATTTCAAACAACTAACAATTATCACACATGGGTAAATTTCCATGTACCATCTACAATATACATGATTATCATATATTATCTTCAACTAGCATGTGTAAGTGTAAATGTCTTGCAAGGCAAAGTCAAATAGAAAATTTTGGTATGGACATTGTAAAAAACACAAAACAACATTCTGTTACTACATAAAAAAGATATCATGTCATACTATGGTTTGTTCAAGCATTAAAACAAAGGATAACAACTTTGACTCTGGAACCTGAAAAGACAGGGATTATTGGCCTTCTGAAGAATTAGGAGGAAATTAGTTTATCTAATCAAATCTATGGTTTGTCATCCTCAAAATTTGTTAAATAACACTGCAAGATTATGACAAAAATATTTTGAAGCCAGTCTAGATGCACCTAAGAAGGGTTTGAAAGCAATATTTACAAATGTGTACAGATTGAAATATGTGCATTTGTGTGAAAGGGAGTGCACAATATTTTCAGAGATCAGCCTGTAGATTACAGAAAGTGTAAAAAATCTTCCCTCAAGGGACAATCCCTTAATATACTTCTCTTACAAATTCTATTTTGTGAGGACAAATAACTTTATCTCTGTTGAAATATAATCATAAATACCTATAATTCAAAGGATGACAATAATTTGTAAGTTTCATAACAATAACATACATGATAAATTCAATAATAGCATTTATTCAACAAGGACAGAGAAGTAACCAATAAAATTCCAAGCCATTTAGCAACTTCTAAAAACAGTCATACATGTTTAGCATTCAAGTTTTAAAACTGGACTGACCAACAAGAGCATAAAACAAATCAGATAAAATCCTGTCTTCTCCTTGCAACATCCACAAAAGCAAGATATATGACACAAATCATGTTGTCAAATATTTTGACTATGTCTAACTAGCTGTTTTGCTTTCCTTTTTTCTGTCCTTTTCATATCTCTCTTCTTTCAACTCCTCAACTTCTTATTCCATCTTCATTCTCCTCCTCCTCTTTGTATAATTTCAGTTGCAGATTCATAATTGACATGGCATGACATTTGTGTTCTTCACTATTAAAAAATAAATATTTAAAAAATATATTAAAAAAAATAAAATGAATAAATAAATAAAATACATAGCATGTGTTCAAGTTAAGCAATCACTGTAGCTTATGCTTTGGCAAAGGCCTACAAACCTCCAATTACATATATTCTAAAAAGATCAGTTGGACTGGTTCCTAATTTACCAATAAATTGCCAAGTAACTCTACAATGTACACACAGTGGCACTGATAAAGGTCCCATTTTGAAATATTTTTGGTTATTTCATTAATAAATAACCTTCCCTATTTCAATTTACAAATAAAATGTTATTGATCCAGATTTCATATACCATATGCCTTTTACTATGTATATCTCTGTAAATGAAATTATATTCAATTTTCATACCTCTTACTTGTCTTTCTTATCTTCCCTTGCAATGCTTCCCTTTCTTTTACCTTAAAATCTTGCAAACACTCAAAAATGTTCCAAGTGTAAAGGTCACTAAATTCCTTTGAACAAGACAGTTTTTCAAGAACATCATATGGTAGCAATTTTTGCCTTTACTTTACCTCAGAGTAGAGGACTATATATTTCACTTGTCTTCCCAGTGGTCCTTTTTTAAGGATGGTGTAATCAAGAATCAAGAAAGACTCAATTTTGCTAAACTTTAACTGTATTTCATTTCGTGTTGCAGCCTTGCAAAACAATGATGGAGTGTTGCAGCTAAACTATCAACACTGTAAATGAAATTAGTTTACAACATTTCCTGGTTTTCCTTAAACAGACTGCAAATCTTGTATTTTTTTCTTAAAGATACATTAACTCTACAGTACCTTGTACATTCATTTTGCTGCAAGTTAACACATTAATGCCAGGGATGCCATGTAAGTAAATGCCATGTCCACTGATTTTAGCTTATTTATTATTGTATATTCATAGATGGCTATACAAGTGCTTGATCACCAAGGAGTTAATTACTATTCCTACATATTTCACCTGTCCACCTTTTCCCTTGATTTTCATATATTTTTCTTATTTTAATCACTATTGGTATACTTTGTAATGTTATAGTAAACACAATATCATTTATAATAACAGCAGGTTTGATGTCAACAGGATTAGAAAACCAAATCCCAAAAATTCAAGGAAAGGGAAAATCAGGTGAGGTCATGTCAGCCTACAAATTGACACCTTGGCAACTGAGCACTTGTAAAGTCCTCTATATGTAAGCAAAAGTCACAAAACAAACCTAAAGTGAACATACATGTTCCTGGTGGTAATAGGTTAATTTCTATGCAAAACACTAATACCTTAAAATAAAATTAGTTAAGGAATTGAGACACATTGGGCATTTTTCAAGTTTTTGCCCTGGCTCCTGGCATTCATTTTCTATGATAAAAAGAGAGCTTTGATCTTAACTACAAGCGTGTATAAAAGTACATGCGTAACAGTAAAAAATTACCTTTCATAAGCTGCTAAGAATTTCTAACCACTTCCACACTTCAAGCATCCCCTAATTCTAAAAATGAACACATATTCAGCCATAAGATTATATGATATGCCATTTGTATTAATGAACAATGTGAGTAGGGTATTATAAGAAAAACACTTATTCTTTGAAAAAATATTTTACAATTCCAAGCAAATAAATAGATTCTAAAACTTATGTGCACATCTCAAATAACAAGCCATCACTCGTGTGTGGTTGCTACATTGGTTTCATATCCGGATACATTAGTGTTGTGGGATATACACTGATGATAATGATGTTTATCATTACTTAGTAAACCAGAACCAGTTGACCTTCACCACTGTACTGTCATGATGAGCAGACAACCACAATCGTCATGCATATGATAAACCATGTGGGTCAGTAAACTGTCATAATATCAAAATCTACAATTTTTTTTCTCTACAATCCACAGAAATTGAACATATTACATACACCCAAACTCCCAATTCCCGTAACCTCCAAGCCTGCTGATTGGGGAAGGGGGTGGGGTTGCTAACATAGAAGCCAAAGGTTTGCACAGAAAATTAATACACAATTCATTTTCACATCAACTACAAGAAAAAGTCTTGTCAGGAAGTCAAGTCAGAGATAAATAATTTACCAGGTCCTGTTTTGGTAAATTACTCTCAATAATTCTGTCATTTAATACTACATTTATTATTTTAGTCCTTTGGGGTGTTGCTAGTTCATTTTTCCTGTTTGACTATTATATATTTCTTACAAACATACTAAAGGACTGATCTATATATTACACAATCTAATATTTTCTGTAATTAATTTGCATTACAGACAATTCTGTTTCCTTATATTATCAACAAAATTTTGAATTAGTACACTTTAGATATATGTGGTGTCACTTTCTTGTGTAGAACAATTCCATATAAAGAAATTTAGAAAATACAATCAAAGAAGCACCTTCATTTAAATTAAGTGCACTGATCAATGACAACAAAAAGTTCTAAAAGCAAGTGCACACACAAGCAATTCTTCAACAAATATATTCACCTCCCATCATAACGTGTCACAACTTGTTACAGACACAAGCAAAAAATAAAACGCCAATACATTTACTGCACATCCCGAATATAACGCTGATTAACAAATACAACAGGGAAGTTTGTGTATAAGTCAAGGCTATATAGGCCTACGCGAGCCTCCCCACTAAAAAATAAACAAAAAAATAAACAAAAAATTATGCAAGGTCTTTAAGCGAAAATCACAAACAATCGTGATCCTAAGACTATGAGAATGATGGAGGAAAGCATCCCGCAGCAGCAGCCGAGAGGAGGGCGAAGGGGAGTGCAAGCAGAAAAGAGCTAAATGTGTCTCTTGTGTCCGCCGTCTTGTGTCCTCTTCGCCTCCACGCCTTCCCTCCCAATTTTATCTCCACTCTGCCTCTATCCCTGTCCGTCATCCTTTTTCACTCACCTCCTTTGACCGTAGGCTTCTGTCACACTTGCCTACACACTCATGATGGGCAGTCAACGCCGAGACCAATAGAAATCTTGAGAGAAAATAAGAGTAACTTCCTCCCGTATTTTGGTCTGGATGACTAAAGTCTATTCCCAGAACAGGACCACAACAAGGTTGCTGATTGGTCGAATGTGGTCACGTGGTACGCTATAAGGCCGGTGATTGGTTCCTCGAGGTCACGTGGTACACTGCGTTCTAGTTCCTACTGTGCGTTCATTATAGGAAAATCATTCGCGCAATATTGCATATTTTCAGGGAACACAAAGCTATCACGAATTTCCAATTTATTTCATTTCACTACAGTTTTAATCATGTTTGAGCCAGAAAGATGATCTTTAAGAAATACTATATCCTCGCTATAACGCACCCATCACTTGCACAAGAGAACTTCTTGAGCGAATTTCTCAAGGTCATACGCTACAAAAAATATATAAGCATGTATATCACTGAACACTACTCAAGGAAGAGCATTCATTTCATATGCACCACATGTCTTTTTCTTTAAGCTCAACCCAGCAAGATGCCTGCACTAAGTAAAGTCTGAAACCTCACTGGATGGCCGCTTTCAGAGAGCGTTGGAAAAGGACTGTCAT